GCTTGGTGCACTAGATGATTCTGAAGATACTCTCCCATGTTTTACCGAGTCCCTTTTACCCTTCGCCGTTGCAATCCCTACCACTGATAAATCCTTAGGTGTAACTACCTACGTTGTCGTTCATACAGTCATTCCTCGTTGATCTTGTTAATACAAGATACCTTGAATTTCTCCTTATTTGTTTCGAGAATACCTTGTGCCTACTGCCTTGCAGCTCTTTGCCACATGAATACCCCTATGGATAATTACTCGCGCTTGTCGAGTATCCGTTTGTCCACAGTTGTTCATGTGTTTCACAAAATTCTTTGGAATGCTATTTGATCTTCCGAAACTTCTTAGTAGCCTATTACTCTTGTTCCTCCTTACCTGCTTACACTATGGTTACTTCCATATGTCCAACAATGCTCTTTAGCAACCTTTGTCATCATAATTTTGAGCAATTGATTCGATGTGTTTGTGAATGCTCACAATCTTCAATCAAAATTAGAATTCTTCCCATCGGCTCAGACGTCACTCCCGGACATGAGCTGGTGTTCGACAAATCAAGCCATGATTGATTGTTGATCTATGTCTATTCAAATTACTTGCCTTTGATCAGAGCCTCTGCTCCTCATCCATCGTTTTGGAAATCATAACTCCTTTGCATTTGAGCTTTGAATCAGTCAGTTGTTTCTATAACCTGACCTCCTTGAATTCTTTCTTCTTCTGGTTGAGTACCGATACTCACATGAGATCCATTGTGGACCTCCAGGTCCTTTGTTGGGTTTTATCCGACAACCTCCTTCACATTCAGTAACCTTGTGAGCCTTTCCTCGGATACACAATGCCTTTGGTAAATTGTATCCCTCGCTCTTGTCAACCATACTCTGCTTCTGGGCTTGAGTTATTTACTCGTGAAGTTGTGGTATAGGTTCCTAAAATGCCCCTATGGGTTGACCCTACGCCTCCTCTAATCCGTTTGAACCCGAGAGTCTTCATGAGTCTTACTCTTCTGGTATTTTGCCAGATAAAATACCAACACTACAACTTCACCGAAAGCAAGAAGTGAATGAAAGGTTATGCATTGAAGAAGTGGGAGTCGACCTTAAACTTTGTGTTCATGCCCATGGAAACGATGTAGATCTTATCATGGGAGCTTATGGTAAAAATAATTATCCCCTTGGTATAGATTCATCTTGTATTTTGTTTTGGTCCTTGGCAACCGTGGTTCCGACCATGACTGTTATCCTTCGATTGCATTTCTCGGACGAGTTAAAGTACTTGTCTTCTTCAGATCATTTCACCTGTCAAACCTCTACTTTGATCTATCTTCGAGTGTTACCCTTTGGTATCTCGAGAATATAACGGAACTACATAACTTCTTATGAGTTCTTCATCAACTATTATTTCTCGCCAATTCAAATTTTCCATGGGTTCTGAGTTGTTAGACACTCGAGAACACCGATAGCTGATTCGAGTCTACACTTTCCTTTCCATTGTTTTGTTTATCCTTTCTTGTAACGTAACATATCTGAGCAGTGATAATTCGCTGCTTATGTAATTGCCTCGATGTACAACTATGTCAGTAAGACCTTGTTACTATTGTTGATGGCATTCCGGTAGCCGCCGATGGACGAGAACTTTGCCTATTGGTCTGCCTCGTCTTAACGAGCAGGAAAATGGTTCTCTTCATCCCTCGCCCTTGGTACCAACGTTGTTGCCAACATAACTGACAGGTTGTCCTCTAACCTGCCTTGCTATCATGACCATACAAAAGGTTAGCGCCTTCCTGCTTTTAACCCACATGGTGGGCCCATAACTCGCAGTTCCACAGGATCAAAACTTGACTCTCCTGTACATCCATGTTTTCCAAAAATTGTTCCTCGTGCTTGGCTTCGTATGTACATCACGAGCCACCCACCTAGTGATCTATTCTGGTATCAGATGCAATACTTATTCCCATTGCTCTGAACTCCTTTCACCCTTTGTTTCAGGCAACGAACGATTGCCTAACCAGTTGAAGCTTCTAATTGCACCTTATAGCCTTGCTCTCAATGACTTTTTTGAATTTCAACTCGAGAGATGCCTTTATACCATGTTCACTGAGATAGCCCCATGTACCTATCTTATGTTGAGCTCCGTCCTTCTCGAGTCTTTCCCCCTTACTTCACCCCTTAAATCTCGGGATGAGATTTCTTGTAGTGGAGGAGAATTGTGACGCCCGGATAATTAAGCTACAGTAATCCCCCGTTAATGGTGCCATGTCATCACATTACTGTTGCTAATCCTCACTAGATCCGAATCATGATTCAAATTCAAACTCAAAATTTTAAAATCAATAATTCAAATTTGCCAAACATGAAAACAAAAATGTTCAAAGTGTGGCAAATAATCCTTTGATATTTGTCATGTTGGAACCAACCTCTTTTGAATTCCCAAAATGCCACTGAGAATTATTTTTTGTCCAGCAGCAATTAAAATTGGCCTTTCCAATTTCTAAAAATTGTTAGACAACTCCTTTGGGCCTCAAACTTTTTGTGACTCCTAAAATAATGTGCTTGATTTACGAGTCAAATCTCATATCTAACAAAACTTGTTTAGATTTACAGTTTAATAGAAAGCTATAGCAAAAATTTAAGCAGAAAATTCAAAATACAAAAGAGACCCCCCGGCTCCCCATGGGCCTCGGCCCATTCTACCCCCAACCAGCCAGCCGCACCTGCATAACCCTCCCTGGAACCCTAGAGCCCAACCGCTCCTCCCCCGCTCTTCCCGATCCCCTCGCTCCTCTCCCCCACCCCACGACCCGATCTGGATCGGGGGCGCTCGCCCTCGACCCTGGTGACCGCGTCGCCCCGCGCGCCGACCCCGCCACCGAATCGTCGAGCACCGCCCCTCCCGGCCTCCTCCCCGCAGCCCCGTCCCCTCTTCCTCGTGGCCCGACGCCTGCTCAACACCGTCGACGTCGCCGCCACCTCACGCCATCACCGGACCCCGCCGGACGCCTCCTCAACCCCACCCGCCTCTCCATCGCTGGCGCAAACGCTTCACCGCCACATCACCACGACCGTCCCCGAGCATGCTTTAGCACCTCTACAGGGCCCTGTGAGCCCTCATCCCCTTTCCCTCCCCCTCCTGTCGCCGTAGGACGCCACCACCGACGCGCCTGGACCTCTTCGTCTGCTCCCGCGCATGTGGGCTCGCCTGTCGTCCTCACCCCGCTCGCGCCACCCCTGGCCGCGCTGTTTGCCACCGCGGCCCGCGCCTGCGCCCCTGGCCTCATCTACGGTCGCCGACCAACCGCGCCGCACCCCTGGCCGCCCTTGCCCCTCGCTGGCGCACCCTCCCAGCCGCCTTGGCCTCACGTCTGCCTTGCCCCGTGCACGGGGCGGGCTCCGGCCTCGACGGGCGCCAGCACCCGTCACCCGCGCGCCCGTTTAGCCTCATGGGCCACTGACCACAGGCGCCCACACCCCCTGTTGTGCTTACGTGGGGTCAATATGGCTTGCATCATATCCGTGTACATGAAGCCCAGGCAACGCCGCAATGGCGCATACGAGCTGCCACCGGAACTGCTTTCCATGGTGAAGGGCGGCGTGCGGCGGGGTGACTTCCCTGGCAGCCACCGTTGGAGGAGCATAGACCGGTGGACCTCCGCGATCAACAGGAGGTAGGGGCGTAGGGCGCTATAGTTACCACGACCGCCACCGGTCTGATCAAGTTGTCCTCGTCTGACGTTGGCCTTGGCCATAGCGGCCGGCGAGGATCATACCCGTTGTTTCCTCGAGAAGGCACAAGATGAAGAGGAGCATGACCAGCAATTAGCACCTTCGTGTAGCCATAGGTTTCGTTGTTCACTGGCGTTAGAGAAGCAAACTTGGCCGTCAGCTGGCTCCCTCTCTTCTCCTCCGTTCCAAATCATGCACACGTGGGAGAAAAACAGTCTAGAACTTTACTGGCCACCAACTACCGCATTGCCGCCGCGCCGACCGAGAAGGTCATCTCCATGGAAGTCTCGTTGCCATCGACGATCGCGGAGTCGGTGACCGGTGTCGGGGCAGCGAGGCAAAGAGCAAGAAACCTGCGCCAACGTACTGCATGACATCAATTGCGAGGTCAAAGTAGGGATTAGAGATCACCGTGTAGATGATCGTGCCGGCGTGGCGGAGTCTGTGAGCTAGAAACCTCCCCTGAGGTACTGCACCACGTCGATGTAAGGTAGGGGATTAGAGATCCCTCTAACGTGTACCAAAAAAATAGATCCCTAGAAGTTTAGAAGTCCCACGTGCATGAGTTTGTATCATAAACGGTTTATTCCTTCGGTTGTTGTTTTACAGTAGGTATGTATATATAGATTATTTCAAATCTTAACTGCCAATCTTTATGATTAACATAAATTAACGGATATAAAGACGTGAAATATGAAGAACTATGAAAGGCTCTGTCCTTTAATATTAGGTAAAGATGTGCATAGCTCCCTTAGATGGTTTGTGTTGGACTAAGGCCACATACACGTGAGAGAGAGAGAGAGAGAGAATATTCTTGCTTCTTATATATCTTATTAATGTCTACAATCGATAGTGCTTCAAAAAATGCTTAGTCTTATTTAGGTACATGTGATGGTTTCAAACCAGAAACCCCGAAGCACCTGCTGGCACCGGAAGCAAACGCGAGCACCCGTTGCCCTTTTGAATCACCTGATCAAGACCATGGCGCAAATAAACCCGTTTTCCTCTCCAAGCACCCGTGCAGGGTACATGATCTCCCACGCAGAGTATCCAATCAGCAACCCCCCTGCCTCGTTCTTGTTCTTCATTTTCTGATTTTCCGGGGAGTCATTCTACATTTATTAACAACTGATAATAGTACTGCTAAATATGTAATATGAAGCAAGAATCAGCATGGGTCAAATGTCCTTTACATCTCGGATAAGCGATACAACCACAATTACATAATTATGAAAGCTATGACTCTGAAGCTCGCCTTCCACTTTCTTACTCTCACTACCGAGAACCCTGAATCTAAGCTGAACCCTCGCCATATACTCCAAATAAATAAAACACGCTAAGACACTATATAATTTACAGGTGTGTAGCTATCATCGTGAGAATAACAGCTGCCCACTAACATAAATATCTACCAAGCCGAGATAGGAACAATGTCGGCCAGTCAATCTCAATAGGCACGGCATTGATACACAAGCTGTCTCGAAATAGCCCAGTTACATCCTCCATCGCTCCTGTTTCGGTATCAAGCTTGTGAGCGTGGCACGACTTGTCTAAGATAAACAGTGTACCACTCTTTTTTCCCAGCCACACACGGATCTTCTCAGCACACCACTTCTCCTTGGGAGATTTTAGGTCAAACACCCCAACATGGAGCCAAAAGGTTTCACTCTCTGCGTCGCTGCCTGCCCGGCGTGTCCAGATATCTAGGCACGGGACGCTAGCTTTATTGTGTACGTTAAACAACAGGAGTGTCCCCTCCACTCCGACGCAAAGTATTGGCCAGCCATAAAGGCCTTTGACGAGTGGGATGGAGACCTCTGTCAAGGAGACGTGACCTGTGTCGACACTGACGTTGAAGGTGTGATACTTTCTTGGGCCCCCAACTGGCTGGTACGCGGCGAGCCAGTGCGTCATGCCGCCACACACGACGGCGTTGTGGCTATGCCGAATGTGGCTCTCGAATGGCATCCAAAAGCCGCCGCTCGGATATGCCCAAGTCTTGTCGCCGAAGCAGCTTGTAGGCGCACTCCAACTCGCCTTGGCAGATGAAAACATGTAGAGGTTGCACCGTAAAGAACGTTGAGTAACCAGGAGTTGATGTCTGATGTTGCAGCCCATCTGATGAGCGATAGTCTGAACAGGTTAGAATGGCGCAACTGATGTCCGAAACTCCACACTGGAGCGGGGGGAGCACGTCGCATGTGCGGGCGAGCGGGTCATACATGGCCAAGTGGACCGAGTTCATATTTGAACCGCAGGCAAGGCGCACCAGGAGGAGGCCACAGCGTGCGGTGAGCGGCGTCGCACCGTCCAAGAGGTCAGCCTGTACGCCGCTGACGGACGAGGAGAACAAACGACAACCAGTGCCGAGCGTTGGTCCTGATGGCGCCGGGACAAAGACCAGACCTCGATCGCGCTGAACGAAGAACCCGAGGAGGGAGGACGGGTGGCCTGTGTTCTCCGGCCAGCGGCGGCGGAGGAAGCACGGGTCGGCTATGAGAGCGCACCATTGCTTGCAGGTCGCGGCACATCGGACCAGGGCGGCGACGTCCGCGGACACGCGGAAGAGTATCTCCAGGAGTACATCGTCGGGGATCGTGGCCACCGTCCTTCGCGTCTTCTTCCCCGGGGCGATCGATAGATTGGAGTTTGGCTGATCCATACGGAGGTGATCGTGCTACCGTATGCCTTATGGATTTCCGCGTCTCGTTCTAATAATTCTCCGTCTATATTTTTAGGCAAGTTTATTTTTCTTTGTTGTGTTTCTGCCCCCGTGATATCGTCAATGTACAGCTCGCGTCAGGAAGCAGCCTCCGTATCGGCCGGCCATTAAAGGTCGTTCGCCCTCTCTTCTTTCATACATTTCGTTCGATTTTTCTTTCGTTCGTTCGTTTTACCCTTTTTTCTTTATTATTATTTATTATTTATTATAAAAATATCTAACTTCCATATATTTAAAATTTTATTTACTTCAAAATTATAAAGCATTCATCATCCATTTCAAAAATGTTTATGCGGTATAAATTATTTGTTGACACAACTATTAAAAATGTATGTACCATTCAAAAGAGTGTTCACAAGTTTAAAACTTCTTTCCACGACATTTTCTAAAATTTAAAAGTTTCTTCACATAATTTTTATAAAGTTCTCATGTCATTCAAAAATTTGTTCATCACATTCAAATATATTCACATATTTCAAATCTCATGAGATTTTGAAAACATATATAAATATAAATAATTCCTGAGTAATTTAAAAAATATTTCCTACCCTTCAGAAAAATATGGGACATTTAAAAAGTATTCTAACACTTGGCAAATGTTTGCACGGTTCATGGCATTTATGAAAAAATGCAGTGCGTGTAAAAATTGTTCACCATGTGCATTTGACAAATATTCAACTTGTATTTGGAAAAAAATGTTCAACGTGTGTTTTAAAATGTGTTGATCTAGCACAACTTCATTGATAAATTTGTTTATGAAGAGTGTTGGACAAGGAAATCCAATACGTTCGATGTTTGATGGATGGTGGTTGAGAAACTTAATGAATTAGAGTATCTACAACCGAACGTTCCAAACCCGCCGCATAAGCTCGGGCGGGCCGTTCGGTCACGAATTTTCGACCAAGACGGGTGCCTCAAACGCCCGAACTGATCGGCACCCCTCAAATCCAGTCCAAATATGCACCAAATTGACCTACCGAATCCATTTGCTCTCTCCTCTCTTCTTCCTCCTCCTTGACGTCCGTCTCACCGCTCCACTGCCGCGCACACCCTTCATCTGTTCCTTGCCTCTGCACCGGCACCTCCAGCAGAGCAGTCCTCTCTCCCGTCCTCACCGCTGACGTCTTCGCCAGCCCGGACCCCACCGCGGTATGTCCCGTAACTCTCTGGCTCCGCCCGCCTTGCACTCTATGTGTTCGTTGCATTGTCTAACCAGATAGTTTGTGATTTTTTAGGGAAAACAATGAATTCCGATGCTTCATCCGATGAGGAGCATGGACGGATGGAGCTTGATCAAATGATTCAAGAAGAGTTCTTCGATCCTCGGATTCAGACGAAGAAGTAGGCATGATCATGTTCATGAGCATGCAAGAGGAAATGGACCGGCAGGTGAAGCATATTCTCAACTTTAAGGGCTCAATAAAAGGGAGAAGAGTGATCAATCGGGATAGAGTTTTTGGAGCATGGGTATTGCAGAGGGACTACTTTGCTCTGAACCCAACTTTCCCGGATGATCCATGGTTTCGTCGCCGTTTCCACATGCGGAAACCATTGTTCTTGCGCATTATGGAGGGCGTGGAGGAACATGATGACTACTTCAAGCTCAAGAGGGATTTCCACGGCCAACTTTCTGATGGAAATATGCCCTAGAGGTGTTGGGAAACGTAGCATGCAATTTCAAAAAAATTCCTACCCTCACGCAAGATCTATCTAGGAGATGCATAGCAACGAGAATGGGAGAGTGTGTCTACGTACCCTCGTAGACTGAAAGCGGAAGCGTTTGACAACGCGGTTGATGTAGTCAAACTTATTCTAGCTTCGACCGATCAAGTACCGAACGTACGGCACCTCCGAGTTCTACACACGTTCAGCTCGGTGACGTCCCTCGCCTTCTTGATCCAGCAAGGTGTCGAGGAAGTAGATGAGTTCCGTCAGCACGACGGCATGGTGACGGTGTCCGCGTAGGGCTTCACCTAAGCACCGCGAGAATATGACCGGGAGTGTAAACTGTGGAGGGGGCGCCGCACACGGCTAACAATTGATGTTGTGTCTTCTAGGCGCCCCCCTCCCCACATATATAAAGGTTGGAGGGGAGGAGAGGCAGCCAGGGGGTGCCCCAAGTAGGCCGAATCCTACTTGGGGTCTTCCCCAATTCGGCCTCCCCCCTTTCCATAATTGCCGGAGAAGAAAAGGAAAGGGGAAAGAGAGAAGGAAAGGGGGACGCCCCCCTTTCCCTTCTCCCACTCGGCCTCCTTACATAGGGGGGCACCCCCCCTTCTAGGCTGGTGTTCTCCCCTCTCATGGCCCATATGGCCCATATCTTCTCCTCGGGGGTTTCGGTAACCCTTCCGGTACTCCGATATGTACCCAGTACCCTCTGGAACACTTCCGGTGTCCGAATACTATCGTCCTATATATCAATCTTTACCTCTCGGCCATTTAGAGACTCCTCGTCATGTTCGTGATCTCATCTGGGACTCCAAACAACATTCGGTCACCAAATCACATAACTCATATAATAAATACGTCATCGAACGTTAAGCGTGCGAACCCTACGGGTTCGAGAACTATATGTAGATATGACTGAGACACCTCTCTCGTCCATAACCAATAGCGGAACCTGGATGGTCATATTGGCTCCCACATATTCTACGAAGATATTTATCGGTCGAACCGTTATGACAACATACTTTATTCCCTTTGTCATCAGTATGTTACTTGCCCGAGATTCGATCGTCGGTATCTTCATACCTTGTTCAATCTCGTTACCGGCAAGTCTCTTTACTCATTCCCTAATACATCATCCTGCAACTAACTCATTAGTCACTTTGCTTGCAAGGCTTCTTATGATGTGTATTACCGAGAGGGCCCAGAGATACCTCTCCGATACCCGGAGTGACATATCCTAATCTTGATCTATGCCAACCCAACAAACACCTTCGGAGATACCTATAGAGCATCTTTATAATCACCCAGTTACGTTGTGACGTTTGATAGCACGCAATGCATTCCTCCAGTATTCAGGAGTTGCATAATCTCATAGTCGAAGGAATATGTATTTGACATGAAGAAAGCAATAGCAATAAAACTGAACGATCATAATGCTAAGCTAAAGAATGGGTCTTGTCCATCACATCATTCTTCTAATGATGTGATCCCTTTTATCAAATAACAACACATGTCTATGGTTAGGAAACTTAACCATCTTTGATCAATGAGCTAGTCTAGTAGAGGCTTACACTATGCAGAACCGGGCAATAGCACCGGTTTGTAAGGCCCTTTAGTGCCGGTTCCATAACCGGCACTAAAGTGTGGGCACTAAAGGCCTCGGTGCTAAAGGGCAACCACGTGGCACGAGCCAGCTCCGGGGGCCTGGAGCCCTTTAGTACCGGTTGGTAAGACCAACCGGTACTATAAGGTTTGGGTTTTTTTTAGTTTTATGATTTCTTTTTCATTTAATTTTGTGTTTCCATTTTAATTCTTTTTCGTTTGCTGGTATTTTACGATACTACACATTGTACACATTATGCACATATATATATATATATATATATATATAGAATTTCTAGTAGAACCAATCATGCATATATATATCATCAATGTCTCACAAACCACCATATTAATTAATTCACACATACACACATGTATAGCTATATATAATTTCTTCTACATATGCATGTTGCCTTCGGAGCCAGTGGCATTAGCCTAATTGGTGCCTTCGGAGTACGATGACAATTGGAAGTGGTTTTCATGGGGGCGGTAGCGGGTAATAGTATTCTCCCTTCGGATTTATGACCTGGTCGAGCAAAAATCCCGCTACTTCCTCTTGAAGTGCTTCTACGCGCTCTGTTTCTAGGAGCTTCTCCCGCACCTCTCCGAACTGTTAAGAAGGAGATCAATATGCATGTGTATTAGTTGTGTGACTAGATATCGATAATGGTGTCAAAATTGTGAATAGTGTTCTGACAAGCGTACCCATTCCTGTCTTTGAGATCTGCTCCTTTCGGACGCCATCATGCGAATGTTCTCGCAAACGCAGAATGCACACAGATCAGTCTCCTGCGCCTGCTTCAGGGCCTTTACGAGAATGGAATTTGATCAGATAATAATTAATCAAGCATGATAATTAAAGAGATGGCAGCTAGCTAGCTAGCTAGTACTACTTAATTACTTACCTTGGGTCGAAACCATTTAAGCTTTTTTTTCATTCGCCTTCCGTGACGCTGATGAACCTTGCCCAAGCCCTGCCCGCCGACAAAGAAAATGAATAAAGGGGTTATTAAATAGTTCATATCATGAAATGACGAACTAAATAGGCCGAGATATATAGTTAATAATGATTGAAATTACCTGTTGACTATCCCAAACAAGATGTTATAGTCAGTATTTTCTTTGA